TTAATATTTATTTGGATATTATTTTATATAAGTTCTTTGTTTATGGTTTGACCAAAAAGGCCTGCTAAGTCTAATTTAAATAAGTAAAACAAGCCTTAAGAAATATATGACATGCTCTTATTCAACTGTCATCCATAAATCAATTTTTAGTGAATAGAATTTTTCAGAGCCATTCTTTAAAATCTTATTAAAACTTGTGACCTGCCACTACAAAGTATAATAATAATAATAATAATAATAATAATAATAATAATAATAATAATAATAATAATAATAATAATAATGGTGTAATCTGGAATAGTAACAGAAATAGATTCTACTGAAGTTGAAGGAAATTTTGAGTAAAAAATATTTTAACTGCATAAAAGTTAAAATAAATATCTGTAACTAGCTAACTTTACCCTCTGCCTAGCACAGTTTTCCAGGAAAATAATGTCCATTGCAATCTGTATCTTATTATTATGGTTGGTCACAAAGTCATTCAGATGTTTAGAGTGGATTTGGCATTTTTGTTGAATTCTTCTTTTGTTAAGAGTGGATTTGGCATTTTTGTTGAATTCTATTGAATTCTTCCCAAGGACCTGGGATAGATGTTATTGTTTAATAATATTAAGGGTATATTATCATATAAACAACAGTGTGGAATCACTATCAGGTCTTTATTATTATAAATATAACAACATAGTATATTAAATTATTATGGTTTGTTGCACAGCCCACTAGATGTTTAGGTTGGATTTGGCATTTTATCTATGTATCAAGTCCTTTTCAAGGACCTGGGATAGGAGATGTTGTTTGATGGTGTTAAATTTATTGTTGTAGGATGTAAGTTGTTCCAAGTGAAGCTGCCTTTTCACTGATGGTGATTTTTGTCAATGCCAGTGGTATTCAAATGATGTTCCAGTTGTTTTGAGATTGCATCCAAAAACCTATTACTGTTGGTACTCCCTTTGCTTTCTTTGGCTGCAAATGTTCTATTTTCAGGTATTTCTAGTTTGTTCTTTGACTTCTATTCCACGTGTCTTCAAGCACTGCCACATCCGCTATCCAGACTATTTTGTTTTTACTATAAGAACTACAATAATAATAGTTTTTAAATCTGGAGTATGATTATTACTATTTTTTCCTCTGCAAGCAATAGTAGAATATGAAAAGTCAGTTCTAAAACAATCCTATATTTTGGGCCAGTTTGGGGCAGAGGGCTTATATTAGATTTTTTTTTTTAAGAATTAGATCTTATGATTTCACCTTTATTACTTTGTAAGTAACTTAAAGCAGTGAACATACCTAACGCTCCTTCCTCCTCGTATTTTCTCCAGATCAAAAATCTCATTAGGTGTGTTGGGCTAAGAGAAAATGATTGACTCAAGGTGACCCAGCCAGTTTTTCATGTCTGAGTAGAGACTAGAACTCGCAGTTTTCTGATTTCTAGCCTGGTAACTTAAGCACTAGATCAAACTGGTTCTTATAGCTTTTGTATCTAAAGCTCTTCCTACATACCCCCTACTTACCACATGAAATCTTTTCTGGGAAGACATGCCAATTGTTGGATTTTCAAGCCATGCAAGAAATAAGAAGGAAGAACTGTTCCAGATGCCACATAATTATTGTGAATTATTTAAAAATGCATTTTGGCATTTAGGAAGAACAGTACTTTGAAGAAGAAACATTGTTCTGTGATCTTTATATATAAATATGTTGTAACAGAGAGCCTCATAAAGGAGACATTATCTTCTATGAAAGACAAAAGAAAATGCCAAGAAGTGCCTACTTTCTACCTGAATACTTTGTAAATTCTTACATTATGGCACCTTTTAAATAACAATAATTAACATATCCAGTTAATTGGTTTACAGAAATTAGCTGAATCCTAATTCTAAACTGGTGTACAATTTCAGGGTATTATATTATAGATGGAATGAAATAGAAGCATTTCAGATTCAAAAATGGTATATCTCTAAAATAGATTAAGCACAAAATCAAATATGAGTCTTATAGGAAACAGGATGTGATACAGGAAAATGGTGGCAGAGGAACAGCAACTGAATGTGGGAGTTGAAGGACAATGTGAGATTCTGAATCATAGCTTTATAACTATGAACTAGTTATGGGATGAGGTGAGGCACTTACTCAAACTGGGAAACCTTTAGAGTTTTTTATATGCAAGATAGTCATCTTCTGTAATAGACTTCCAGAGTTAGTAGACTTAAGTTTTTTAGTTACTCAATCCTGAACTTTCACCACAGAAGGCCTCTTCTAAGAAAAGCAGCAGGAATCATAGAACTATGCAATTTATATGGCATTTCAGAGTAGCTGAAATACTTCTCTTGTTAGAAAACGAATGGCTCTGATTGCTCAGCTGGGAAGGCAGGCATGAGGAAGGGAATATACGCTGCTCAAAAAAATAAAGGGAACACTTAAACAACACAATGTAACTCCAAGTCAATCACACTTCTGTGAAATCAAACTGTCCACTTAGGTAGCAACACTGATTGACAGTCAATTTCACATGCTGTTGTGCAAATGGAATAGACAACAGGTGGAAAGCATAGGCAGTTAGCAAGACATCCCCAATAAAGGAGTGGTTCTGCAGGTGGTGACCACAGACCACTTCTCAGTTCCTATGCTTTCTGGCTGATGGTTTGGTCACTTTTGAATGCTGGCTGTGCTTTCACTCTAGTGGTAGCATGAGACAGAGTCTACAACCCACACAAGTGGCTCAGGTAGTGCAGCTCATCCAGGATGGCACATCAATGCGAGCTGTGGCAAGAAGGTTTGCTGTGTCTGTCAGCGTAGTGGCCAGAGCATGGAGGCGCTACCAGGAGACAGGCCAGTACATCAGGAGACGTGGAGGAGGCCGTAGGAGGACAACAACCCAGCATCAGGACCGCTACCTCCGCCTTTGTGCAAAGAGGGACAGGAGGAGCACTGCCAGAGCCCTGCAAAATAACCTCCAGCGGGCCACAAATGTGTATGTGGCTGCTCAAATGGTCAGAATCAGACTCCATGAGGGTGGTATGAGGGCCCGATGTCCACAGGTGGGGGTTGTGCTTATAGCCCAACACTGTGCAGGACGTTTGGCATTTGCCAGAGAACAGCAAGACTGGCAAATTCGCCACTGGCGCCCTGTGCTCTTCACAGATGAAAGCAGGTTCACACTGAGCACATGTGACAGACGTGACAGGGTCTGGAGATGCCGTGGAGAATGTTCTGCTGCCTGCAACATCCTCCAGCATGACCGGTTTGGCAGTGGGTCAGTAATGGTGTGGAGTGGCATTTCTTTAGGGGGCCACACAGCTCTCCATGTGCTTGCCAGAGGTAGCCTGACTGCCATTAGGTACCAAGATGAGATCCTCAGACCCGTTGTGAAACCATAGGCTGGTGCAGTTGGCCCTGGGTTCCTCCTAATGCAAGACAATGCTAGACCGCATGTGGCTGGAGTGTGTCAGCAGTTCCTGCAAGACGAAGGCATTGATGCTATGGACTGGCCCGCCCATTCCCTAGACTTGAATCCAATTGAACACATCTGGGACATCATATCTCGCTCCATCCACCAACTCCACGTTGCACCATAGACTGTCCAGGAGTTGGGGGATGCTTTAGTTCAGGTGTGGGAGGAGATCCCTCAGGAGACCATCCGCCACCTCATCAGGAGCATGCCCAGGCATTGTAGGGAGGTCATACAGGCACATGGAGGCCACACACACTACTGAGCCTCATTTTGACTTGTTTTAAGGACATTACATCAAAGTTGGATCAGCCTGTAGTGTTTTTTTCCACTTTAATTTTGAGTGTAACTCCAAATCCAGACCTCCATGGGTTGCTAAATTTGATTTCCATTGATAATTTTTGTGTGATTTTGTTGTCAGCACATTCAACTATGTAATGAACAAAGTATTTAATAAGAATATTTCATTCATTCAGATCTAGGATGTCTTATTTTTGTGTTCCCTTTATTTTTTTGAGCAGTGTATGTCCAACCTTGGCAATTTTAAGACCTGTGGACTTTAACTCTCAGAATTCCCCAGCAAGTCATGCTGGTTGAGGAACTCTGGGATTTAAAATCCACAAGTCTTAAACCTGCCAGGATTGGGCACCCCGGTTTAAAACTTGTATCTAGTTGCATTAAAAATGCTGCACATGCATATTTAATACCAGACTCTATTCATTAGTACGTTTTGGTTGGTATTGAACTGAGGCTAAAATTTAGGGTTTTTGAATACGAATGCTATGCAGTTTTTGTGGTTTTCAGCAATTTTTTGCTATCAGAAAATAAACTTGTTTTACAATTTTGGCAACTTGAGATTACATGGCATTTATTCCTTATGTGTGTGTGGTTATTGTTTTTAACAAAACAGACTGCCGATTGTGTCTTGTTGATTTTGTCAAGTACTTCCCAATAACATAAGAGATGCTATTTGAAATGGCTTGCTTAGACAGTGATGTTTGATTCAATCCTTGTACATGGCCAAATACTCTTGCCTGAGATTGAATTTATAGTTAGATATCACCATCCTATGTAGTTATGTATACGTGCTGTATGTCTGTATATGCATATCTGTGTATGTATGTGTGCCTTGCTCAGTTTCTAAAACATAATATTAAAATATATCAGTAATATACCTCTACATGAATTTCTACATACAGTACTATTTCAGGGCATGGTATGGAGGCTATGGAATATACACTGGCCAAATGATGCTTACCTGATCATCAGCAAGATCCCTGAGAATAGTCAGTCTATGAGCTTCTAGTTAGTAGATGCATTAAATATGTCACCATATAGAATGCAGTGAATTCAGGAAAAAGACAAAATTGCTGATTTACTACATTTGGTCATCATTCTTTTTTTTTTTTTAACAGAAACATCAACAAATATACAGCAGGCTACCTTGAGGGCAAATTTAGTTTACTCATGTTTCTAAAACTATACATTTCCAATACAGTGGACAATAGTGATGAAACCTCAGCAGTTTGCAATTTAATATTGGTTTGAATACACTTTCTGATAGGAAATTGCAATTAGTTGTGAGGACTAAGGTTGAATCTGTTAGTTTGACTTTATCAGTACATGTTTAAAGCTTGTCTTAAAAATTAGATCATAAAGTTATATATAGACTTTCATTTGGAATTAAATTCCATGAAAATCAGATGGACTTTTTCCTGAATGCATTCTTCAGGAAAAATGCATAATCCATAGGATGGCATTATTAACGGGGTAGCATTAAGTTTCCTTTCCTTTCTTTACCTTTTGTTGTTGTTGTTGTGCAACACTTGTACCTCATGATTAATGTTTATAACTATGGTTTATCACATATCACTTTGTTGCTTGTATGTACATTGAAAGCTTATGCACCGGAGACAAATTCCTTGTGTGTCCAATCACGCTTAACCAATAAAGAATTCTATTCTATGATTTGAATGGTGAATTAATAATTTTTAAAGTGGAAAAATGTTTTTTCCCGATTGTGCATTTATATTAGTTTAATTATATTGAATTAATATTATTTCTATATTTTTGGAATTATTGAAAATACATTTTAAAAAGGCACATTTCATCTCAAACTGTTATAGTATGAAATAAATTATTTTTTGATGCTGCTTATTAAAAATGCCCAGGTTATTTCCCAAATATTGTGATTTGTTGTTTTTGGAGTATTGTGTTGCAGTTGTTTTCATTCTTCACATAAAAATTTACAGACATGAAAAAAAACATCATTATAATTGCATTATACTGCACTAGGCATCTACACTAATTCTGCAAACCTCTAGTTGGTAATCATAGTACTGGCCCATAAACATTATTCCTGATCTTAATTGTTCATATAACTTTAATATTCTAATAAAAATACTTTCAATTTATATTTCAGACTGTTACTTGTTAATTGAAATAACAACAAACCAAATATGTTTTCAGGCTTTTTAAATTGTCAATTATTAGGATGATGCATATTTGGAATAAAGAATTTTATGATAAATCCCACATTAATACTGGTTACTATTCAAACAAATATTTGTGTTAGTGGCATTTAATGAATCATTGATTTTATAATCATCTATAATATATAGTTTCTCCCACTGAAAGAAATTTTACCAGAAGACAGTCTTATTTGTGTAGAACTACGTAAGCATAGAAACAAGTAGAACTGAAAGGAGGAAATACTGTAATTATGTTGAACACTGTGCACATTGCAACAGGAAGACAAAATACAACCCAAAATAAAATATTTAATGTCAATAAGAAATAAATGTACATTTTTATCACGGTTGCTGTCTTGGGAAAGACAAAATGCATTCCCAAAAGAATTACAGGGTCAATTTGCATTCAACCAATGCCAAATCTGAAACATTAATTTCTAGACTACAGCTTGTTTACTCCCAGAAGGAGAATCAGTATGATCAAATTCTTCTTCCTCTTCTTCTTTTTCCTCTTCCTCTTCTTCTTCTTCCTCCTCTTCTCCTTCTTCTTCCTCTTCAATAAAGTCAATAAATTCATACTCATCTCTTTCACCTGGAAGGGAATACACAGCCAAATAACAAATACAGTAAGAAAGAAAACTGCACCAGTGATTTAAATTCATGGTCACATTTGAAGGGAGAAAGTGTTTTTGCGTAATTTTAAATATCAACAATTTTTCCTTTACTTCTGATCAGGTATATGCCACATTACAAAAGATTTTTGTTTTTGTTCCTGCCCATTCTGCAATCTACTGTATGCTAGATTGCAATAGTAAATGGAAAGTTTACAACACGTATGTCTACATCCATTCCTGCTCCATTCATCATAAATTTCAGCTCACTTCTTACAAGAGGAAAATATGAATATACAGTACAAATATGCAGGGTTCCCCAATATTAACACATGAGAAACACGAACAGTTTAATGAAATGTCTACTTATCTATTTATACTTGCAAGTTAAAACCGTACTATCCTCTGTGGATCCTGCTATGTATAAAAAGTAAGCAAAGGGAACAATTACACCCAGAGGTTTGTACAGTGCAAACATGTACTGATCACTCCAGTGACCTTTTATGGAAAAGTTGCAAAACCATTTGAAGAAACCCTTCCAAATATTTTAAATAAAATTACAAAAATACATGCTGTTTCTTTAAAGCCTCTTTTTAATTGATCCAGAACAATGGATTAATGACAAAAAATAAAGCCAGAACAGAGAAAATTGGCTCAGGTCTGCAATTGTGAAAAACAATTTGCTAAGTGGTTGTAGTTCTAGGTCAACATTCCTGAATCTGGTGTTGTCTAGATCAGCGCCTTTTGGGCAGCAGGGACCACTTCTGTGGAGAAATGCTTTTCCACAGACCAGAGGTGGCATGGTTTCACATACTGCCTGCATCCGCAAATAAGGCTTTGCTTGTTTGCGTGGCCTGGTTTCTGACATGCCAGAGCCCAGTGCCGATCCACGGACTAGGTTGGGAACCTCTGGTCTAGATGCTTTCAGGGACTACACACTTCAGGATAACCAATAACAGACTAAATGGGGGTTCTGGGAGCTTTTTCTCTGAGATTCTAGAGATGATTTTTCATGGCACCCAGCAAATGCATTGAGATTCCTGCTCTATGAAACCATCACTTAGCCTGTTATTGGTCACACTGAAATGTGTTGTCCAAATGGACTTAAACAACAGATTGGAGAACGTAACAGCCAGTTAGTTTGTTTTTTATGGACAAATTGCCATATCTGGCTTGAGGCAATTTTCTATGTTCTGGCTTTATTTTTATCATTAACTCATTGTTGTGGATCAGTTAAAAACAGGCTTCAAAGCAGCAGCATGTATTTGAAAACAATTCAAACTAATGGTTTTAAATGAATTTTGCAGGGGCCGAACCGCTTGTATGCAGCTTATGTCACATCCCCATTTTTTACGATCTCCATGTACTGCTTATAGTAATGTATAAGTATGCAATTTATTTATAATAATGTATTTGAATCTTTATATGCAAACGATGAATCATATTTTAAAGCTTCCTCCACAACATGTGAATATTCATCGATGTAAGAATTTTCAGAAAATGCTCTCCCTTGGTGATAATTTCAGCCAATTAAATGCATTGAACTGTTGTGGCCTACTCCCTCCAAGAAATTTTACTTTAGCATTCAGATAAATAGATAACTCGTCATCAGGACAATATAACCCATGGCAAATGCCATCCTGTTTTCTGCAACTGCTTATTTACAGTCTTTTGATTCCCTTTCCCTCCTATGGAGTGATTTCAGTCACTTTCTCCAATCTCTGGGTTCTTATTCATTAAGCACTGAAAACAAAGTAAGAAAGAGGTTCTTACAAAGCCTCCCATTCTTGTTTAGTTCTTCCTCTATTGCAAGAAGTCGATTGTACTTGACTATCCTCTCTCCACGGGAAAGACCTCCCAGTTTGATGAATTTGGTTCCCAGTCCAACAGCCTAAGACAAATAAACCCCTTTAAAAAAAAAACCTCATAGCTGAGAACTTTGGTAGTTTATTCTGACTAACATAATTTGGTGACTACATAGAGACTTTAATTACAGTCGTATATATTTCAACCCTACATGAAAGTTCATAATTAAAGAGATGAATTTGTAACTGCCACTACAAATATTATTCTGTGTGATCAATGTTTTGTTTACAAATATGTATTTCATATATTTTTTATCTATTGCTTTATCTTTTTCTCTCTACTGCATGTATGTGTGTGTGTTTGTTCTTATTGTGTTTTTCCTTTCACAGCTTAATTATATTAAAGGATTTTTTTAAAAAAATATTAATACAAGATTTGCTTATTTGTTTCTTAAAGCAGCAAAAATCTCAGTTGAAATGTGAGCTGCAGTTTAATCCTTAAAGTCATATAACTCTTAAATTGCAACATTAGAGTAAATCTGAGAAGTATAATGAACTAATATCTGCTTCTTGTAGATAATTTACCTGTTTCTTACATATAAGAAAAAGTTATCAACTAACTATCAGGAGGACACAGAACAAAGGGAGGGGGAAAAAAACACTTTGCAACTTAATAGTCTGGATATTACTAAGCTGCCCAATTTTGGGAGAAAATAGTTCAGGTATTTTGAATAGAGTAGTCAGCATTGGTGTACTACATCAGAAGAAGAGAGAGGAAACTGAAGCAGATGTAAAGGAATCCAAGATAACTACTTTATTGAAAAGGGGAGTAGGTGGGACCTGGGAGATTGCAAGTGGCATAAGAGAATAAATGAAGGACTGGTGAAAGAAAATTGACACATTAAATAAGTCATCATTTCAAGTGACATCCTTTGTGTAATTATACTTTGATACACAAAAAATCAACTGGAGTCCATTAAGACAAGAAAATACTGTTACTGCCCTAATTTTGAATAATTTACTCAACTTTTCCTTAAAAATGTCAGCAAGAAACACTACATATTTGCTCTTTGCTTCTCTTGCCCACTCTGCTGTTTTCCCCTTGAATGTTAAAAGATTACCTCGCTTTAAAAGGCAACTTTCTTGAAAAAGCCAATTTCCTCAAAGGTTATATGTCTCTTCACTAGATAAACATTTCTTCTAGGAAGTCGCTCAAGATAAAAAGCTTTGGGCAATTGAGGAGTTTTCCACACATACCAGATCTGCAAGGCTATCATCAGAAGATTCTCCATCCGGACTTCCTAAGATGGAAAGGTGTCTCCAACCTGTATTGAATGCAAGGGCTTTAATTTCATGAAACATCTATAGCTTGCAAAACATCTTTGCCTTAATTGTAAAGTTACTGGAAAGTCTGATGGCATCTTCCAGAGTTAATAATTTATTATAAATTTAAATTTTGTGGACTGATAAACTCTAGTCCAGAAAAGTTTCAGCTTCATTAAATGGATAGTTCTTTATAAAGACACTAAATTATTAGTTTTGCTGTAGCAAACTAATACAGCTGTCTTTCTGCAAATACATAATTATTTGCTTATTTAGCTTTTTTAATTTAATAGCAATCTAAGTTTGTTTTATTATGACTTATTTATAGTGTACAAAATCAGCTGCCCACAGCCAAGCAGTGTTGAACGTTTATATCTATTTCAATGTACTTATTCTGCATTGGATTGTGGGCAAACTCAAGTAAAGCTAAAGTATTTGTATTGTATTTGTAAAGTATTATTTGCTTTTAACAGTCCCCACAACTGTTACTGTAGAGATAATCAGATTAAAAATATATTTAAAATAAACATAGTGAACGTTTTCCTGTTGCATAGATTTTTTGTTTTCTTTAAATGAACAATTCTAGCTGATACAAATAAAAACTGGAATATTAACATTTTAAAATCTCTGTTACATTTTGAGGTCCATAAAAATGATGGGAAATATGTGACATAAACCAATACTATAAGAGATTCATGATGTTTTCTATACCACTTAAAGCTGAATTATATCTAAACATTCAATTTTGATATTTTAAAATGAGCCCCAAATTATACTGTCAATCCATAATGAAAGCAAATTTTTATAAATAATTTATTATTAATTTACTAAATATAAATTATTAGTTTAATTATTAATGATTTAATTATTAGTTTACTTATTAGTTTCTAAATATAAAAAGCTCTATATTTTTATAGCTACTATTGAATTTTAATATGCAGTTCTTTCCTCACCATCTAATCGCTGGGTCATTTGTATAAGGTCCAAAATTTTAGCTTCATTGATATGTTTTAAGACAAGACCACTGCATTTTGGTATATTGCTTTTTTTAGAACCCAGAAGTTTAGTCAAATTCCTGCATGAGTCTTCTGCAATTAAATAACATTTAGAACCCAAAACATTGCACAGCTGGATCCACTGTTGGCTGTCCTGCAAAAATAGCAAAATGAATAATGTGTGTGTGTGTGTGTGTGTGTACACACATATATATATGTATGTAAGAAAAACTTACCTCTTTTCTCAATGGATCTATTAATGTTAAAATAGAAGGGAATTTCTTAACCAGATCTAGATACATATCCACCATTTCATCAGGAGATTTAGGTGTTCCAGTAATTACTTCATATTTTCCTTTATTCTAGAGTGTAAAATATCAACAAAATATATTAAATATGAAGCTATCCATTTAAAAAAAAACAAGTTTAGGTCAAGCCTAATTGTGGAATTATATATACGGAGCTTTTACAATAGTCTCTAGTATTTTAGATGAACAATTTGTTCATCAATAGTCTCTAGTATTTTAGATGAACAATTTGTTTTACACATTTGTCCCATTATCTTGCCACCCCCTCTATTATCAAAACATATTCCCCTAAAATATGAAAACTAATGATAAATTATTGAAAATAAAACGTACATAGTCCATTAATTCATGAGCAGCACAATTTATCCCCAAGTATATATCTGTTCCTAATTCCAAGGAAAGATGGGTGCATGTTGATTGGATCAAGGTTAGTGGTTGTTCTAGACTGTCATATCCCATTACCAGACAACCTAAATGGGATATTTTTTTAGGAACAGGAAGCTGTGGATAAATAATATATAAAAATAATAATTAATTTACAAAAAATAGCCTGCTAATTTTTGAATGTCTGCCCTTCTTGAACCATTCCATCAAAACTATATAGGTGATATTCTAAGCTCCTTTAAGGCTCTTTCTCTGTATGGTCATTTCATAGATCAAACCACAGTAATATTATGGTCATATTTCAACTATATATATAATTTACCATTACCTACAAGAAACTAACCAGGTAACTTCCTAGTTATTTTTTCCAATTTCTATGACCAGATGGACATGAAAACAATTACTAAGTTTGTTCATACTGTATCATTTGCAAGGATGCAGTCTTATAGCAAATAAGTTGTATTATACAATATGTCAGGGATGCTAGTAAGTTTTTTCCCTTATAATTTTAATCTGAATCTTTCATCACGCTCAACCTTAGGACCACTTTATTTTTCTCCTTACCGGCGTCTTTTTCCCTGCATCTCGTGAAGCAGCTTTTTTGCCATCTATTGCAGAACTAGACTGTTGCAAAGGATTTTTCAAGAACAAAGTGTTTAGGAAAACATAGTATGCAGAAAAATGTAACAAATTGTTAACTATTATAGCAAGTGAGTCATCATGATAAAATACAGGTAGTCCTCGAATTACGAGCCACAACTGATCCCAAAATTTATGTTGTTAAGTGAGACAATTGTGAAGTGAGTTTTGCCCCATTTTACAACTTTTCTTGGAAACAGTTGTTAAGTGAATCACTGCAATTGTTAAGTTAGTAACACGCATGTTAAATGAATCTGACTTCCCCATTGACTTTGCTTGTCAGGAGGTCACAAGAGGTGACACATGACCCTGGGACACAGCAAAGGTCATAAATATGAACCAGTTGCCAAGCATCTGAATTTTGATCACATGACCATGGGGATGCTGCAAAGGTCATAACTATAAAAAACGGTCGTAAGTCACAATTTTCAGTGCCATTGTAACTTTGAACAGTCACCAAATGAACTGTTGTAAGTCGAGGACTACCTGTATGTAGGTAAAATGTGATTCAACACTAGTCTGAAATAGAAATGTATTATTAAACTGTACCTTGCCAACAATTATTTGACTCAGCATTATAAATAATGAACACCTATTAGTTTAAAATAGCAACTTGTGTTAACAGCAAATGCATAGAAGGTTCTTGTGCAACCAGCCACATCTCTTCATTCCACCCCATTTCTCGGGTGAGTTTCCGTTTTCCCACCCACACAGTAGTTCTTTGTTTATTTTTTGCCCCTTCTCTCTGCAATTATTTTTTGTTGTACAGACTATGAAGTTTGTCATCCTGTTGATATTTCTTTCCTTTTGATGAGTGTGGGCATGCTAGACCTAAGCCCAAAGATGACACAATGAAATCCAGTTGACTCCAATTCTCTATTAGCTTACAACTAGTAGGCACAATCTTGCCAGACTAAAGCTATAACTTTCTAACCTTACAGATATAGCTAGGTGAGATATATCACCCTGAACCTTCAACCATACAAGTCAGGACTGTGCAATCTCTTAGTTTGGGATTCTTTTTGGAAGGTACTGTCTCCTCCCTGAGAAACCATGGTGCTCCTGCCGGGATTCCTCTCCAATCCTACCCCACTCCTTCTCCAACCTAAGGCCATGTGCATTTGGGCTATTTATTTATTTATTTATTTATTCAATAGCATTCACTCTTGAATGTCCTAAATAAATGTTGTTATTGTTGACTTACGTCTTTATTCATTTTTTCTATCAGTTTCAACATCTGTTTCTGAATATCCATACATCTTGTTAGGGCCTGCATAATAATAAAACATCATGTCAGGGAGGACCATCTTCCTGTATCAGGTAGCTCATGCTTTAAGATCATCAGAGAAGGCACTTCTCTCTTTTATTATAAAAATATCCCCATCCTGGACAGCGCTCTACTTATGAAATGCATTCCCAAAATGGCATGCCTCATACAAACACTGCATTTTCATTGACAAATTAAAATCTCTTATTTACCATTCATTTTAACTAATTCTTACCCATGTTTAGCACAGGAATGTACAGATTTAATTATACCTTAATGCTGACTAATTTAATTTTATGTCTCTCAACATTAGATTTCACTTTTATAAATGTTTGCTTATTATTATATAACACTGAGATGATCAAAATTAATCAACAATTGTGTCAACATGCGATTTCTACTAAGACAATAGAGTTAATTTCATTTTCACGTACTGAGGTGCATAATAGATTGGCACATTATGTTAATCAAGTTTTCCTTTAGCAGAAATTACATATTTGGTAACTAATAGACTATCTAATCAAAAACTGCCATAATGTAGGACTGTATTCTCATGTATCTTTTCTTTAAACTTATTCAAAAGTTATCTAGATGATTGAGATTTATATCAAAGCTATTTCTCAAATCCATTTTAGAACCATTGTAACTATAACCATTTTAAATCATTTTTCATTAAACTAATGCTTCCTCTGAACCAGGTTAAGACTGATCCTCTTGAAATGTGAAATTTGGTTTAAAAAAAAAACACCCTCTTTATTGTACAGCAAACTCTGTTAAATCTTTCCAATGTTGTTATTGCTTGCTTTCCTTCAATATGAGGCACTGGAAATTCCCAAATAAATGTCAGAAAAACGCTATTGTAACTATACCTATGTCTATAACTGCCAACTTCTGAAATGGCGTCGGCCAAAGCCAGGCTTACTTGTGCTCCATTTCATTGTTGCCACTTTTGGTGGGGGGAATGGGGAAGCATGGCGGGAGATTAGGAATGACCCATAGAGGGGCTTGTTGGGGGTTGTGGTGCCTTACCCAGCTAGACATAGCAGTGGTCGGACCCAGTGTGGGGATCAAGGTTGTAACGATGAACAGCTGCTCTTACTGAACTGAGGGGAAGTTGCTAAGGATTGACTTGGAACATCTGAAGGGGTGGGGGTTCAAGCCTTCTTATGATGCTGAAGTGCAGAAGTCCTGTAGAGCTAGCTTCACTTCACTAAGTGAAGTACTAAGCACTAAGTATACTCAATAAAGGGCTGTTTGGCAGTGTCTGGTATGTCGGAGTCCTGATTCACGTGGGTGCATATCTCGGAATGTTGACAATAGCTATAACTATAATGTATCATGCAGATAAAATGCTGCATATTTGTTTACTGAATAGACAATTTGTATAGTCTGATCAACAAAATAGATATTTCCAGTTCTTTTTCTGAGATGTCTTGCGTATACACAGATTTTGAATTTAGCTCCAAGTTAACAGTTTAATAAATAACAATGATATAGATAAACAGCATTTCCATCATGAAATGTGAATACAATGTGAATACAATGAAAATCTTGAGTGATTTTCAAGATTTTATTTATCATTCCCAACATAGAACAACAGACCGTACCTGTTTAACTGTTAACCAGGTAGGAGGGATCAGCATCAATTCTTTTATTAAATTTAGCTTTCCAGGTGATGATTTGCCGCAATTCAAAACTGTTATCATTGGCAGTGGCATAACCAGTTCTTTTGGCATCTTCTACATGGAGAAGAATGAAGCATTTGATTGGTTATACTAAAAATAAAACCCTGGCTCTCTAGGTCTGGCTTTAATCATATATTATGTTTTACTATAAACTACCTTGTACATTATTTGGATCATAAAGGAAAGTTGACTGCATTTGCATATGTATATGTACTATTTGCATCTATGATTGACTAGCAAGACAAAGCTTAATTTCATTAAAGATCCAATTTTAGACAGGAATGTTCTAGCTAGTTTAGCTACCAGGAATTTAAAATGGATAATGATAAATCAGTATATAAAGATCCCTTCTTTCATCTTGGCATGTCCTGTATGCCAGAGATAGACAGCACAAATTAATATAGCAATATACAAGTATAGGATTAGGATTTGCCTCAATTCAATATCATTCAGATGTAGGAATATTCCTATATATTGACAGCAGAGTCAGAAAACAAGAGTAAACACATTAGAATATGATTCCTGTCAATCCCACTGACTTTTAGAGCAGACATGCAGAATAAACTAAGTCAAAATATGGTTGGGCTAAATATGGTGTTCAAACCTGGACTTTAAATTGTGGTTAAAGAAGAATTTTTTAATTATAGTTTATAGTTTATTAATGCTTGAATCAAACTAAGACCAATGGCTTAATTGATTTAGTAATTCTTCTGGCCCCGAAACCAAGAGATGGAAGACAGGAATGGCTACCTGATATACGGTATATTATTCTTATGTTTTCTATCATATTCACACACTCATGAAAAGGCTTAAATACCATAAGAACACAATGTAAGAAAATTCTGCTCAATCACTCCAGTGGCCCATCTGGCCCAGTATTCTGTTTCACACAGAAATCAACCAAATGCTTTCAAGAAACTCACAAACAGGTATCGTAATTGCTCTTTTATATTTTTGTTTCATAACAGACACAAAACTAAGGAAACAGCAAGTGATGTACAGCTCCTTTAATTGAACTCAACTCGTGATAAACACAGGAATAACCAGTTAGTTGTCCCAGCAACAATACAAATAGGTTTGCCAGGTTCCAATCTGTGTCAGTCACTGGATTTATTCTTAGCTTTCAGGCTCGTTACGGGAGTTCGAAACCTAGGAAGACTTTGCTTTCGTTCACAAAACTGGTTTTGCCAAGGCTATCTTCTAGATCAGGGGTCGCCAACCTTTTGGATCTCAGGGACCACCAAACTCATAATTTTAAATCCCGAGGACCATTAATATGATTTTTTTTAAAAGCTAATATATTTAATATAAAAAAAAATTATGTTAAATATAAATTTAATTTATACATACATACATACATACATACATACATACATACATACATACATACTTGTAGATTTTCACGGATACAGGTATGCAGGTCTTGGCATGTTCGGGTCTTTTCCCGTATAAAATTGAGAGTTTCTTGGTGATGTTTCGACGAGGTCCCACTCGGCATCTTCAGGCTGGTGCTTTCGGCTTCGTGTTTGTGCGACCAAAGCTCATACATACACACACACACTTACTTATTTAATTATAACAAAAATGTAAATGCTTAATGATAACAAAATAAAATGTTCTGGGCTGGAAGCCGCCCCCCACCTGGCACATTCCAAAGAGCCGAAGAGGGGGCAGGGTGTGTGTGTGTGTCTGAGCTGAGGGGCCTCAGAGCAACTGCTGCTGGGAGAAGCAGAGGCAGAAAGGGGGCTCTGCTCTCCTTGGGGGCAGCACCCCTTGGCTGCCACTCCAGGGGCTTCCCAGCAGGCATCTGCCTATAGAAGGACTACTGCTCTTGGTGATTAATTGGGGGAAGGGAGGGGGAGAAAGTGGGAGCCTCTTTCAGATCCCGGGTGGAAGATTGAGACAGTGGTGGGATTCAAATTTTTTTAGTACCGGTTCTGTGGGTGTGGCTTGGTGGGCGTGGCATGGCTTGGTGGGTGTGGCAGAGGAAGGTTCCCTCCCCACCACACTAACCTGCTTTCCAGCTCTGTTCTCCTGTGCAGGGCAACAAAAGAAGACCCAGCTGATCAGCTGGGACTTGGGACACAGAGAATAGATGGGAGCAGGGCCAGTCAGAGGTGGTATTTCGAACTACTCAAAATTTCCGCTACCGGTTCTCCAGAACTGATCAGAACCTGCTGAATACCACCACTAGATTGAGAGGCTCAGATCTGCAGCTGAGGAAAAGCTGGGGGAGGCTCTTCCATCCTCACCTGGAGACAGGCAAGGAAAGGTGGGGGCACTTCGCTCACTTTAGCACTTCGCTGCCAAACCCAGCCACAGCCAGTGATTATTTGGGGGTGGGAGGAGGGGAGAGAGAGAGAGGGAGAGAAAGCATCTCTCGCATTACCAGTGGAGAAAAGGAGGTGAAAACAAACTCTTTCACTATGACCTACAAAACGCCAATCTACCGCGAAATCACCAAACGCTCCCACTTGCAGTTCTCACGCCTCCCGGCTCTCCAAGGGACCCCAGAGTCAGGTTCCTGAGATGCACGTGCCAACCAGCTCCCACACACGGTGGCGGTGACAACAGTCCCCTCCCCCAGCGCCTGCTCTCAGCTCTTCCCCATTAGTTCTCTAGCTTTGAATTGCTCCTGTCTGTCTCTCTTTCCTTCCCCCCCCCCCCACGTGCAGGCAGGCAAGGAAAGGGAGATAGAGCCATGCATAGCTCTCAGCTCTTCCAGCCCTCGCTGCCTCTCCCAACATCGAAGCCTCGGAGATGCAGGCAAAGCCGCTGCAGCTGTAGCACCCTGCTTGCTTCTCCATTACTGCCTCCTCCTCCTCCAGCACCACTTCCTTCTCTGGGCAGGACGATTCTTAACTAACCAAGCATGCTAAGGCAACTCAGGGCGTTACCGCTGTGGCGGTTTTGCCTGCATCTCCAAGAATTTGATGTTGGGAGAGGCAGCGAGGGCTGGAAGAGCTGAGAGCTGTGCACGGCTCCATCTTCCTTTCCTTGCCTGCCTGTATGTGGGCTTGGGGGGAGGAGGAAGGAAACAGAAGCAGGAGCAATGGGGAAGAACTGACAGTGGGCGCTGGGGGAGGGGACTGTTGTTGCCACCACTGCCGTATGTGGGAACTGGTTGGCGCATGCATCTCAGGAACCTGACTCCGGGGTCCCTCGGAGAGCCGGGAGGTACGAGAACTATGCAGCCCAGATTAATTGCTTTTGGGAGCCATTTCTTCTGCGGCCACCAAAATTTTTCCACGGCCCCCACCAGTTAGCAACCGCTGGTCTAGGGTGCTACAACTGATTAAGTAGTTTCACTATACATAGCATGAGACTTGGCTTTGTGCATATGGCAATCATCTCTCTTGTTCCCATTTCAACTGAACATTCTGAATCGGCACAACAAGTACCTGATCATGTTTCAGCAAAGCAATATATGAATACAAAGGTATGTCACGAACAGTTGCGGCACTCTTTGCAATAGCAAGTGATGTACATCCAATAGCCAAACTGCCCATAAGTACAGGTTCAGGAGGTTCTGCTGGGACTATTGGCTTTTCTACTACAGACAATTTTTTGCCTAAAAATACAGGGAGAAAAGGGATGTAGTCAGTTTTTGCTTAATGTTATCAAGACCACAGTAAACAAAATGATAGCTTTCGCATTAAAGCTTTGAAAGTCAAACAAATGGAGAAAGAAACCTTCAGGTTCCTTAATCTACAATTCAACAGGAATCACAGGCACTGATTCAGAAATAGGAATTTGAAGAAATATAATTCTAAGTGCATTTTAAACTTTTCCTATGTATCCATCAAGCCTTCTAACATTAATTTTATATCAGTTTAAAATTTTAATGGTAGATATTGCAGACTCTTTGCTGAAATTTTATTTCTCAGACAAAAATGTTCTGTGTTAGTTTCTCTTTACTAACTTTTTTATCATGTTGATTTTTTTAAAACTTTATCCAGATTTTCAAAACAATGTTTATGTTTAAAAAAATCAGAATCCTAGGTACATTTGGAAAATTATGTAGCTCCCCTTTAGGAACCTTAACAATAGCTGAATTTTGTAGCACGGAACATTGCGGCCATCATTTCCTACTGTGACATTTATGTCCTCAAATGTTAAAGACCAGCCTGCATCATTTGAAAATCTGACACTAGTTAGGGATGTGGGTGCTATGGAAAATCTGACTTTTGATCCAAACAATTAACAGCTTCTTTAAGCAGCAAAACATAAACATTTCTCAAGAACACTGAGATGTAATTTGAAGCACGCCACAAATTTGATCCTCTTTATGATCAAAAAGCTCAGCTAATGAAAATTATAAATGAATTCTCATGGTATGAAGCAACAAGTCTCAAGAGGACATATTCTCCAGAGATTCTCAACAATCAATTCAATCTTCCATAAAATGCCAAATTCTACTTTTGTTATGTTCAATATCTTTTCTTTTTGATAGAGACTATTAAAAGTCTAAAAACTAAATATATCCTCAGAGATTTATAAAGAGTTTTTTAAAATTTGTATTTACTAATAGTATTTCCTCATCTTCAGATATGGTATTCACTGGTGTCTGCAGTAAATTAAGAATATATCAAAATACACAAAGGCACAAAACAGAAAAAAAAAGCCAATTTTTGAACCACTGGATCCTAAACTGCTTCCTTTTACAGGGAATGTACAAGGATGGTTATGAAATAAAAAAAACAAAAAACTTCCATTTGGTAGAAAAGCTGCTAAAAATACTAAAGAACAGATATATAACATTGACAACAATAATAAATATTGTCAAGGCTACAGTTTTCCCACATAAGCACATGAAAGCCATTAAATGACACGCCTGAGTGAAAATATCTTGCACTGAAAGAACAAATCATTGTACCAGATATAGTAAAACCAGACTACTGACTGGGAACACTAACAATAAAGCTAAAGCTTAAATATTAAAGACACAAAATGCAAAGGCAGGAATCATTGGAAAGGCCCTCATGATTAGAAAAATTGAAGGGACTCAAAAAAGAGGCCTATAGAACAGGGGTCCTCAACCACCGGTCCGCGGACCGGTACCGGTCCGTAGAGCACTCTGTACCGGGCCGCAAAGAAAATTAAAAAAAAAATGGCGGCTTTCTTCGCCTTCGGTGAATGCTGCTGGGATCGGGGATCAAGGACACAAATGAAAGAAGGGGAGGGAGGAAGCAACCGAAGCCTGTCCTGCTCTCTGGCTCAGCGGCTTCGGTTTCCTCCCACCTCGTTCCTCTCTCAGTCGCTCTCTCGCTGCTCCACCAGCCCAGGAAGAAACTGCTTCAAAGAAGCCGGGGGGTGGCTTTTCCTGTCGCCGCAGCTCCTCCGAAGCCCCCGTTCACCCCCACCCCGCCCGCCTGCGCGCGGTTCAATCCACAGTGCTCCGTTCTGCCTGCCTGCCTACCTTCTTCATTTCTGGTGAGAATAATAACTATTCGCCTCTTTTTATCAGCCGAACCTGCTCCGAAATGAAGAAGGCAGGCAGGCAGGCAGAACGGAGCACTGTGGATTGAACCGCGCGCGGGCGGGCAGGGTGGTGGTAAACGGGTGCTTCGGAGGAGCTGCGGCGACAGGAAAAGCCACCCCCCCGGCTTCTTTGAAGCAGTTTCTTCCTGGGCTGGTGGAGCAGCGAGAGAGCGACTGAGAGAGGAACGAGGCAGACACCTGAGGGAGGGAGGGAGACACCTGAGGGATGGGGCTGAGGGAGGCAGGGCCGAGGCGCTCCCTGAACTTGGTGGTTTGCTGGCAGACGTTTTATTACCCGACTAGGTAACAACATCAGATGTTACCTAGTCAGGTAATGAAACGTCTGCAAGCAAACCACCAAACTCGGATTCTCCCCCCCCCCCGGTCCTTGAAAAAGTGTTTGTGCTTGAAACTGGTCCCTGGTACAAAAAAGGTTGGGGACCACTGCTATAGAAGACAAGATAGCCAGTTACCATCATTCATGATGCAAGCAGGAGTTTTCAAGAACTAAGGAGTTACTGAGAGAGCAATCCAGGGAAAATAGTGTCCAGCAGGTCATGAAGAAGCAGAAGTAAATGAATGATTGTATAAGACCATTTTATTTATTCTAATTTCATCTTCTAACCTGTTTTATTTGGTTTCTTTTTTCCAGGAGATACGGTGGCCAATGGAGAAGCAGGTGCCATCACTTCTTGACTTTCTTTTTCTTTTACAGGTTCCCTTTTTTCTTCGTATTGTTCAGATTTTCTTGTAAAATAATCACTGCGATAAAAGGAAATAGCATGACTAATCATGGTTTTGGATTTTGCAAGTACAAACTCTACAAAGTCATAAGCTGGAAGGGTTCTGACACACAAAAAGATATTCCACATTTATTTTGAGTCTGAATTTGAATGTGTGTTGGTCAAGGTATTGTCATTAGTTTTAATGACAAGATTAACTAATATTGTCATTAGTTTTAAGTTTCCTTTTCCTAACTGCAATGCCAGCTACCTCAATCTATTATCCACATGATTAAAGGGGGAATATTATTGTTTTGTGCCACTTCAAAGCTTTCTTCAGCCGGCTTTTGTCTGGCACAACTGTCCCCTTGGAAGAGGAAGAACTTATAGGGTAGAAATCATTCAAAGAAGACATTTAGTTAATTCAGTATTTAAAATTATTCCATTTGGGAACTGATTTAAAAATCATTAATAATTGAACATTTCCTCAAATCAACATATTTACTGTTGATTTTAGCCTGTTTATAAGGAAACCTGTGATTATTAGGGAAAGCCTTGGTCTATTTAAATTTGGAATAGAAGGGAAGAGAAAATGAACTTACGGTAGTATGACACATAGATATAAGAGGGAAAGTTAAAATAAAGATATGCAAGAATGAATACAAATCAAATACTACTGTAAGGATTGATCAATTTGTATTCCAGGAAGCTATATTTTTAGTCACCTATATCTCACATCTGTATCTTACATCAATCTTAGTAGTACTATAAAATGAAAAAAAAGTTATGATCAGTCTATTAATTAAATATATTGTAAAAAGTCTAAAAAATAAATGTAACCTTTATTGCATATAGCAACCTAATTTCAGTTCCTATAAAAAAAGGAACAATTCTATATTTTTAGTTATCTACAACTGAACTTGTGCCTGTATGTGTTTTTATAATCAGTTTGTGAATAGTTAATATATAGAATCCTATACTGTATTCATTTTTTAAATATTAATTAGAGAAGGAAACAACTAGATAGAGCCTGAGTTTTTGGCTTTTTATGGGATAATTAAGTTAAGAATAATGTAGATTTTAAAATTTACTGTGTACTTCTTGTCCTGCCTTCAGGTACTTTGGAGAATAGTTTGACACCCTCTTCTTTGTGGCAGTCCCTCAAATATTGGAACACAACTATCATGTCAGTCCCAGACCTTCTTTTAATTAAGCTACACATACCCAAGTCCTGCAACCATTCTTCTTATCTTTTAGCCTTAATTCTCCTAATCATCTTTGTTGCTCTTCTCTGCACTCTTTCTAAAGAGTCCCAACATCTTTTTTATATCATGGCGACTAAAACTGGATGCAATATTCGAAATGTGGTCTTACCAAGGCATCATAACATGGTATTAACACTTCATGTGATCTTGGTTCTATTTCTCTGTTAATGCAGCCTAAGACTCTGTTGTCTACAATCAAGATCAAGGGAGGTACTAATACCACTCTATAAAGCCTTAGTAACACCACACCTAAAGTACTGCATCCAGTTTTGGTCACCACATTATGAGATGTTGAGACTCTAGAAAAAGTACAGAGAAGAACAACCAGGATAATTAGGGGACTGGAAACTAAGGCATATGAAGAACGGTTACAGGAACCGGGCTTGGCTAGTCTAGTAAAGAGAAGGACCAGGGGAGACATGATAGCAATCTCCAAATATCTGAGGGGCTGCCACAGAGAGGAAGGGGTCAAGCTATTTTCTAAAGCACCTGTAGGCCATGCAAGGAATAATGGATGGAAACTGAACAAGGAGAGATTTAACCTGGAAACAAGGAGAAACTTTCTGACAGTGAGAACAATCAACCAATGGAACAGCTTGCCCTCGGAAGTTGTGGGAGCGCCATCACTTGAGACCTTCAAGAAGAGATTGGACTGCCATTTGTCAGAAATGGTGTAGGGTCTCCCACTTGGACTAGATGACCTACAAGGTCCCTTCCAACTCTGATTATCTGTTATCTGTTGGCTTTTTTGTTGGCTGCAGCACACTGCATGACATAGAAGGGACAGAACCTTCTAATGAAAGAGGGAGGATGGATAACAAGTTTGTTTATAATATTGCAGAAAGGATTGGAAATTGTGTGTTCCATTTTCTTTTTCTGCTTAAATAACTTTTTACACTTTTCTTATCTTTTTCACTTCTTTCTAACTTTATATATTTTCATATTTATCTTTTACTTATCTATTTTTTAAAATAAAATTCATACAGGTAGAGTCTGACTGTTTTGATCTACATTTCTTGTGGGCCCCAATCAGCAATTCCAGTGACAGGTAATGGGAGCTATATTCCCAAATCCATGGAGGGCATTAGTTGTATTCTCTTGCATTACTGCATCCCCTGAAAACTAGTCACTCACATTGCTGCCATCCTCCCTCCTTCTTCTTGGTATCTATATCACTGATTTATTTTATTCATTCAGTATTGCTATTACTGGATGGAACTTTTTAGATAATGAGCACTTACGATAGCTAAGATTTACTGATTAGCAGACAACTGACTTATGTAACAAAATGTCCTAATAACCATTAAAGAATACTACTTCAAGTTTGCAAGTGTATTGTGTGCAAATGCTGAATTACAACATAATGGAATTTTAAATAAAATTTAAAAAACTTCCTAGCAAACAAAATAAATATGAGGCACTTACCCTAATAACTCATCTATGTTTTGTTGGTCCCCAGGTTGAAGGCCTCTGAGCATTTCATTCAGTGATTCATTTATCCATTCAATTGCCTTATTCAAAGATTCGGATCTTTCCTTTTCATCCGCATCAATTGCTTCTGCTGAAGCACTTTCAAGAATTTCAGCATGACATGAGATCATGCTGGAACAAATAATCTGTATAACAATATTTAAAGATGTTTATTACTGAAATTTCACAAAGAAAAAATCTTTAAATATTGTTTTTATTATTGATGTATGGTTTTTTCCAGACATTTCCACTTCAAGTATTTATCCAGGGTAATTCATAGATTTTAATTCTTCAGTAAAATTTTATTCAAAGCTTTTTATTTAACTCATACTTATTCTACATAGTTTTAACACAAACAGCAGTTTTTATGTGAAGTTTTGATTCAGCAATGCTTTGAGAATATATTTTATAATGTTCCCCTAATACATATCTTGAACAAAACTTAATGTCATTTTTCAAGAAGTAAAAGGAAAAATTAAAAATTAATCTTAATCCTTCTAACTGATATAAATATTGATATATTCAGTGTAACGAACTATGTAATGCATATGTGATGGAATGAAATATATTTCCAAATAAAAATTTGAAAACTTGACTAATTTTTGTCATTTCTCTACCAAAGTAGATGGCGTTATAAAATAATATAAAAGGACATTTTCCCAGTTGCAAAATGAGAGAATAGAATTTCAACTTGGGCCTAAATTAATTGAACAACAGGAAATCAAAATGTTAGGCACAGAAATCACATACAACAGGAATGTATTTAAACTGTATATATATATTTTTAAACAACCATCATACAGAGATGGTAGAAGTAAGATGGAAGTAAGATCAGGATCATACTGAACAGGAAGGTAATAGTCTGACCTGCTATACCATTTGCTCATCCAACTGATAATCAGACTAGGTCAGAAGTTTTCATTGTAATGAATGATTTGGGTTAAGGTGGCTAAGTTCCTTTGCTTTTCGATTCTGTCTTCCAATCAGTTGTATTGGTTTTCTTTCACATATGTTTTTGTTTTAATGATTTAATTACAAGCTGCATAGAGTTCTGGTAGAGTTGGTCACTCTTGAAATTATATAAACAAATAGAGAATTAACTGCAACACAACTCATACCTTATCACAGTTTCTAACTCGGCAAAAGACTTCAACTTCTAATGTTGGTCGGCCAGTTCCATCCAGCACACTTTTAGCATCTAATTTGCATATCACTGGAGGTTTTGATAATTCAGAGAAGAAGTCTGCCTAGAAGACCAGTAATTAGTGCAATTAGATTCAAAGGCTTTCAAAGATACAATTGCAATTTATTTTGTACCTTAAATTTATTAGGTGGTTCATTTAGTTACCAATTCTTATAGCCATAGACTGAGGAAAAATCTTGAATGGTGCATGATTGTACCACACTAGTTGAAGCAGATTATCTGGACTCTTTTTCAGTCAGTATGTGGCAGATTCTGCTGTGAAGTACAGCCTATCTAATATATATTCAAGCTGAGTTTCTATGTTTGATTAGTATGCGTAACCTTGTTTCTACCTGCTGATTCCTTCAGAAGGATTCCTTGTGATGAACAATCAGGTAAGCATCATATTCTGAACATTTTTCTGGTGCAGCCACAGAAAAGGCATCTATCTGAGATCCTACCAGATGGCAACATTTAAGGTAAGGAACTTGTTAGGACAGACAGATACCCTCAGGCAAAGGTAATCCTGCAAGTGACCTTGACCCATGCAATTTAGAATTTTAAAGAAAATAGCCAGCATCTTAAATTGTATCCAGAAAGCAACTGGAAGCTAATGGAATTCATATATCAGCAGTGTAACAAAGGCAAAATATGAAGAACCCAGAATTGCATAAGCTGCTGTATGTTGGGCGAACTGGACCAGATTGTTTTCAAGGACAGACCAATGTAGATCACACTGCAGTAATCCAACTAAAAGATAACTAAAATGTGAATGTCAGCAAGCAGGGCTTAGGAAAAGTCACAACTGGAACAGAGGAGCCCTCCCCCAACTGCAGCTACTATCTCCTGCTTTACCAGGAGTTGTGAACCCAGAAGGACCCCCAAATTGTCCACCAACTAATGGCGTATTATCCCACTGAATAACAGGGATGACAATTCATCAGAGCCCATATCCCACTAGAGTGGGAAATCCAAACCCATTCAACTTGTGAGAGAATCTGTTTGGTAAAGTGATTATGGCACCAGACTAGGAATGGGGAAACTAGTTCCATCTTAGGGCCAAAGACAACTGGGTGACCTTAGACCAGTCATTCTGTCAGTCCTAGAAAGCAGACAATGGCAAACTACTTCCAAAATCTTGCCAAGAAAAATGCAAGATTTTGCCCAAATAGTTGCCAGGAATCACCTTTGACTGAAAGACATAAACACTAAAAAAATGCCTTTGGTCCAGTCAAAGCACTTTGCTTCCCATCCAGGCTCCAGACACTGGATATGCACCTGTATAGCATCACCTTCCTAGAAAGGGGGTGGAGATTTATAAAATATTGATGACACTCCATTCCAATGGACTTATGTAATTATTAAATAGGAGAAGGAACAAAGAAGAAATCAGAGACGTGAGGCTCCCTAAGTAAGAGGCCTGAATGGACCTCTCCCCATCACCAACTGAAACTAGCCATGGACTTTAAAGTAGTGCCTCCCCCATTCCTAACCCTATTAAAAAAAATCTCATTTGCAAGCTCCTCTCAGTGGTTCTACAATCAAGTCCAAATCCAAGCCACGACAATCCTTACCGGTTTAGGTCTCCCACATCTATTTTCTTGCCATTTTGTCTTCGTCCTGCTCTAAGCCATAACCCCACCCCACCCCCCCGAAGATAGAACATAGTGTCCAAGCCTGAGGGTAGGGATATACTGGTGCCAGAGCAGTCTTTGCTTACCAGTAAGATATTATGGTATCAAATAAGTCATTAATGAAGAGAAAGGTGGTTTACAATACAAGGAGGTGACAATGTTGCTTGAGGTGCAGAGGACAGGAGGAGAAAGCAGCCATGGTTGGTGCAGGACTATGGTTGGAAGAGCAGCTGAAATACGTGGCAGGCAGAGGGGATAGAGGAGAAAGGAATTTGGAGATATGCCAAGCTGGAAGGATGGAGGCCTGGGGAAATGATTTACTTTCGCTTTGTTTAAAATAGCAGGCAAAGAATTTGTTTTAATGGTGATTGGCTCCTGATGTCACTTCAGAGCTATCAAACTGTTACTCTCGTTTTCTTTTCTGCCAAACTGTTTAATGATGTAGGAAACCAGGCTGCTCTGGGCACCCAGCAGATTACACACTGGCTTCAGATTGTAACTTCCAATATTTTCTTTAGGATATGGTTTCTTTTTCTTGCTCCTTTTTATTCCTGTCCTTTTTCCTTTCAATTGGTGTTTCTTTAGCTGTTTCTTTACCTTCAGTTCTTTAGGACCTAAATGGCTCTTTTCCTTCTATTGATTTCTGTTTTTGACTTCAACACCACTATAGTAATTGCCAATTCTTTTTCATTAGACTTAAGGATGAACTCTACGTCTTTTCAGAAAAGTGTCTCAGAACTGAAAAAAAAGCTTGCTCACTTGGGTTCTTACACCTGAGGTTTTTTACTTCTTAATTCTTCTTTTTGGAGGCAGTGGAAGAACTCAAAAGATATGCCTGGATGATACAAACAACCTGAGAGATATCAAGATACAGCTTATCATGGCAGTGTTTTATATAAATGTATGCCTCCAGAAAGCATCCTAAAAAGACCATAGGGTACCATTTGGATTGGAAGTCCAGGTTCTGGAAGAGAACCACAATCTTGGATGAAGATATCTAACATGAGTATTGTTTTATTATGATCACCAATGTGCTAGCTTCCAGGTTCTGTTTTGTTGTTGTTGTTGTTTTGATGTTGGAAAGGAAGGAAAGAAATGGGAGTGTTGAGAGTCCAGGCCATACTACACGGGAGTCCAGGCCATACTGTGGATGGTGGCTCTTCAACATATGCTACCAAAGATAAATTTTCCTCTTTTCAGTACTGGAGAACAAGTTTCTTTTTTAAAAAAAAGGTCAGAGAAAACAAGATGGCAGAACAATTACCAACAGTTAACAGTTACCTTGAGGCTCAGCATTACTGAACTGAAATACAGCAATGGTAGGATCAGGCAGTCTTCACAGCATGGTTTGCAAAGCATTTTTTTATTCTGTGGCTGTAACAGTATATTTCATTATTGTGGCACCTGGAGCTGATATCCTTTCTAGTTTTCAATCAGTAGTTTATAATATAATAAAAGAGTCTTGATTAATGTATAAATGGGTAGAAAAGTGCTCTTTGGTATACAATGGTGGTATATCAATCATAATTTTGTTTTCAGAAACAAATTTCAGAAGCAAAACAGCATTTCCCAGCATGTAGATAAACATGCTCAAGTAAGAGCAGCCATTGAAAAATATCAAGATGTGTAGAGGGAATGCTTGCTATTTGTTTTGATGCTTGTTATTGTTCCATCCAAAATTAGTTTATTACTATATAAAAGGTGATTCGAATATATTTTTCCTTAATGATGCACATAGAGCAGCAGTTTATTCTGGTATGGGTTTCCTTTCTCAGTTAAACAATATTGGTTGCTGTGGAAGAATATACGGAGATACACAGAGAAAAAGAGAGAGAGAGAATGAAGGATAATAGATAACGTGTACAAAAAAAAATTCATATCTTAGCTTTGAGAGATAAGAGAGGAACAGTTGACATGTTTTCTGGCAATAAGAATGAAGATGTTCAATGTATAATCATGCTTTATTATGCTACTATGAAAGAAGATGCTACAAAAAAAAAGATTACAGGTGAGCTGTGACTCAAAAAATGTGATCTTCACCCCATCCCAAGTTTGAAGACCTAGAATGAAGATCCCAAACTGGCAATGCTGAAAACTCTAGGTTGACCTTCATTCACAATCTAGATTGATTTGTTTTGTTTTTTTAAAAAGGTAGAGTACTGTTCGTTGACAGAATTCTGGAAATTCTTTAAATAAAAGTACTGAAATTATATGTATTTTAAAGAAAACTGAAAAGATACTGAACTAATTCCAAAACTCTACAACTCCAAACCTATCAAGTAACTGCTTTATTAAGCTTTTATTTAAAAAAATAGGAACTCACTATAATTAAAGCTGTCCTGCACAGGCATTCCTGGGAAAGTGGGGTGTACATGTGAAGTGACAAAATTCATATCATAATGCAAATATCACAATGTACTTATCGTGTCAGATGTTGGGATACTATGCAACGATTCCATCTGCGTTATGAAATCACAATATGCATGTCATTTTGAGATAAACTCAGTTTGTTATGGATGGCACAATACGTTTAGAACCGAAGGTTGTATTTATAAAGCTATCATTAATTTTATTTATATTCCAGTATGCTTCCACAAAGACCATCTATGGTAACCTATCAGGTTTTTCTACCTCTGAATTCAAAGATGTGCTATTGTTAACAATTACTGCATGTCAGTCTTGTTAAATTAGTAATTGCATTTACTATCTAGAATCAATTTATAGGTAAGCCACTTATCTTATTGCAGCAAAAATAGTATGTTTTCTACATCAGTCCAAAGACATAAAGGGGGCATCAGATTAGGTAAGCTAAATTAAAGAGTTCACATTCCTTATAGTTTAGGCTGCCTTCAAATAGAGAACATCAAGATGAGTCTCTAATTGACTCTCTATTACATCTAAGCTTACATTGTAATAAATGTATTACTATTACATTAAATTATGTGTGTCCAACTTTTTGCCTTGCCTTACCCACATTGGGTAAAGAAGAATTGTCTTGGGATGCCTGTAAAATATATAACATAATTAATATGTATACATTGTGGGGCTTCATTTCTAGCTGTCCAGGAGTTGCATGTGGCCCATGGGCCGTGGGTTGAACATACCTGCCTTAAATCATAAAAGTCTAACAAAACTAATGAGTTATTTCATTTCCAAGAAGCGTCAAGAAACCCATAAAATCCAGGCTGTTAGCTAATCCATTAATTCAGTTTTTCTCACCTCAGCAAATTTAAGTGGTATGGACTTCAAACTCCCAGAATTTCCCAGCCAGCAGCATTCTGCTTGGGGAATTCTGGGAGTTGAAGTCCATACCTCTTAAAGTTGCTGAAATTGAGAAACAGATTTTAGTTACAGGTCGTCCTTGAGTTGCGACCACAATTGAGCCCAAAATTTATGTGGCTAAGTGAAAAATTAGTTAAGTGAGGTTTGCCCCATTTTACGACTTTCCTTGCCACAGCTGTTAAGTGAATCATTGCATTTGTGAAGTAAGTAACATGGTTGTGAAGTGAATCTGGCTTACCCATTGGCTTTGCTTGTCAGAAGGTCACAAAAGCGGATCATGTGACCACCACCCCAGACACCGCAACCGTCATAAATATGAAACAGCTGCCAAGAAACAAAAGTTTGATCCTGTCACCATGGAGATGCTGCAGCGGCGGGGGGAAAAAAAGGTCACAAGCCACTGTTTAGTGGTGGTGTAACTTTGAACGGACACTAAATGAACTGTTGCAAGTGGGGGACTACCTGTACCTCAAACTATCCACTAAAGACCTCACCCAATTCCTAAGAGGTCTGTAAGGGGCCGTGTCCTATTGTCCCCATTTATTCGTACCTAGTTCCTGTATTCTTACTCATGTTTATACTTGACAAATCAAATAAAATAAATAAAATAAATAAATAAAAACTCCTCTGCTAGTCTATTGCCTCCATTTAGTGCGCCTGCGCGTTTCGATCCGTGCAACCGTCCGCTATCCATTTCGACTTACTAGATAGCCGTAGAGATCCCCGGGGCGCTGGTAGAACATGGTGTTGAGTACTTCCTCCAAGCGCTGCGGTACTTCGTTGCTCCGGTAATACTCCGCGGCCTGGTGTTTGAGATCCATGATAGAAAACCGCCGAACCGGCTCCGATGGCCGATCCCTCACCGTGCGAGTTTCTCGGCGAGCCATGATCCAAGGCGACCGTCGCTAGGAAACGAGGACGCTCTCCGGGGCCTGGCCCCGAGATTTCCCAGAATCTCGCGAAATCCTCTCCTCGGTCGGCGGGGCGAGCCGGGCGGACTTCTGTCGCTTCAGCCCGCGGACAGAAGACTTCTATTTACGGTGCTGAGAGCGAGCTACGTTGGGGTTGAATGGACTTTATACCTTGGGAGAGACGTGACCGGCACGGCACAGCAATAGGATCCGTTGACATGTGTAGAAAAATAAAGCGTAGACGGGAGAAGGAATGACTGCACCATAAAGCAGGAGTCTCCAACCCTGGCCACTTTAACCCTGGGGGACTTCAACTCCCAGAATTCCCCAGCCAACGAAGCTGGGGAATTCTGGGAGTTGAAGTCCCTCAGGCTTAAAGTGGCCAAGATTGGAGACCCCTGCCATAAAGAACCCCACCAGCTGCTTTGGTGGTTCCTAGCTTTCCAGGAGGCTGTCTCTCCTGTTTAAATGTCCGAATAGAGAGGGAGCTATTTTCACACCTCATGCTTATCCTTAATGAACATCGTCGTGGTTTATTCACATGTCTGGATTAGCATGACTCAGTAGATCCATATACTAAGCACCTGGTTTGGATACACACAAAGCATTCAGAAGTTGCAAAATATGGTGTGGATGATGTTGGATACTGTTCATTGACTTCCCTATGTTGAGAACAATACGATTGTTGTTTGGCTTCCATATTTGACACTTTTAAAACCCTAAATGGCTCTGGACTGGGTTATCAGAGAAGCTGCCTCCTTCTATAGTCATTTTCTTGTCTGATCAGATTGAATATGGCCAGTGCCCTCCAGGTCTCATTTATATGAGGTTATTAGAAGCAGGTTTCTTTCCTATCTAGCCTACAGCTTTGGACGTGACTGATCTCCTATCCCAATATTAATTATACAAGCCTTGCTTAATATTGTTTTAAATTAGCTATGAGATTTATTTCTCATGCTGATAATAGGAAGAACAGTTACCAAAACAATTATAATAAACAGTGGGCAGCCTATACCAGCTTCATAGAATAGCTGTCAATAAGAATAGAGCTGGGAGGGACCTTGGTGGTCTAGTCCAGGGGTCTTTAAACTTGGCAGCTTTAAGATTTGTGAACTTCAACTCCCAGAATTCCTCCTCCGGTCATGTTAGCTCAGGAATTCTGGGAATTGAAGTCCACAAGTCTTAAACTTGCCAAGTTTGAAGACCCTTGTTCTTCTCTAATTCCCTGATCAAGAAGGAGGCCCTATACAATTTGAGACAAGTAGCTGTCCAGACTCTTTTTAAAAACCTCCAGTGATGAAGCAACCACAACTTCTGAAGGCAATCTATGCCACTGGTTAATTGTTCTGACTGTTTGGAAGTTTCTCCTTAATTCCAGGTAAAACCTTAACAGAACAGTTAACCAGTGGTACAGAAGTTGTGGGTGCTTCATCACTGAAATTTTTTAAAAGAAAAGACTGGACAGCCACCTGTCTGAAAAGTTATAGGGTCTCCTGCTTGACCAGGGGGCTGGACTAGAAGACCTCCAAGATCCCTTCTAGATCTATTCTGAACGAATAATGCAAGAGAGTAAAATCTGGTAGGCTAATTAGAGATTCATGGTATCCTGAGAATTGGAAATTGAGGCTGAGTCTGCTGCTGGAGACAGTTTCTTAGCATGCATTGCTTGCCTTAGATGTGACTGGTCATTTTCAAGAAAAATGAGAGAGTGAGGACTAAGTTTGGTGAGGATATGCATCTTATAAACCAGATCTTTGTTTATAATCTGGTTTCTTTGATGGGGAATTTTTTATTTTTTGCAAAGAATATTGAATGTTAGAGTTTCAATGGGGAAGAACTCTGCTTAAAAATATTATGAAGACAAGAATCTGGGAGAGACATTTGTAGAAAATATTATAAAATGTTTATAGTGTAGTGAAAAGTTTGTTTAGATTATTCATGAATCAAATAGCTTACACTGAATTAAAAGTGTTTCATTCTGGAAATGTGATAAAATAGCTGAATATTCTGATTTCATAATTTTGCATAAATTAAGTGTTCCTAACTGGAAAATAGAATAGAGGGTTGAATATTGTTGAAATCTGAAACTTTGGATATGTTGCTAAGAGCATCAAGGGAACAAAAGTTTACAGCAATATCCTAGTTGAAATACAGCTTATCATTATTCAGTCATTGGGGAAAAAAATCAGCATTTCCATCTATTAAAATTGTGAAAGCATTAGAAAGCACCTGTGTGAAATAAAGATGAAGTACAAAGGGACTTGACAAGATACAGGAAACACATTTTTCTTCTCTAAATGGCAGCCTGTTATTTTGTCTCTAAGGAATCATGTTTGCCATTGTGTCTCCAGGTGCTCTGTTACCAGCTCTAGGTTATGTGATGGTGTTCAAAAACGTTCAGTGATGGTATAGTGGTCCACACAAAGAGAAAAGTTGGGATTACTGCCTTAAGCAATAAAGCATATTCTATAAACCAGAATGTCAAAAACCCCTAATGACTTAAGTGATATGTCAAAAAAATCGGCAGCTTCTCTGCTTTCCCTAGAGAGTGTGGAACTCTTTGCCTTCCTGCCCCAAACTGGAATAGAGTAAGGATGAGGTAGCAGATGCTGCTTCAATAGAATTGGTCTTTCCTCATGCCTATTCTTTTGATACCAGACAACTCCTTCCTTTTCTGCAAACAGGACAAGTGATCTGGAAAAGGCAAGGGATGAGATATTACGGAATACTTCTCACAGGATTCACCCTTATATAATGTTTCATTTTAATCCTCTCTCTCCCCCCCTCCCATTTAGTTTTCTGGCTCCAACACTAACACTTTAAAATTTTAGAATATTCCGTTGTTGTTGTTGTTGGTCCTCCTCCTCCTCCTTTTGCTTGTATTTCTGCAGAGCTTTGATGATCGTATCTTATCCTAATCCTAATACTTTCCTTTCATATGTAGATGATTCTGTTATACTGTACAAGGATTGACTTGTCCATGTTAAGAGCCTTGTCTTCCAAAAATGTCAAGAAAAAAAAGCAAATTCCAGGAAAAAAAACCATTGATGTGAATGGATAGATGCTGACGTGGGAGGATAGCGTCATCATTCTAAACTATGTTTAGAGTACTAAAATTGTGGTTTATTGCAGTGTAAACTAGCTGCAGTCAATCTTAGGTTAATGAGTTCCTCCCCCTTGTTCTTTTCTTAGCATTACTTCTGTTGTGTGTGATATACTATATCTAAATCTCAATTCCACCTGCTGTTGATTTAAGTGGTTAATTTACTGAAGAGCAACAAACCTCATAAGATATGAAGATATTGAAGTTATTTCCAATCACCAATTTGAACCAAAATAACTTAAAAAATTGCAATAGCAATAGCACTTAGACTTATATACCGCTTCACAGTGCTTTATAGCCCTCTCTAAGCATTTTACAGAGTCAGCATATTGCCCCAACAATCTGGGTCCTCATTTTACCAGAAGAATGGAAGGCTGAGTCAACCTTGAGCCGGGTGGGATTTGAACTGCTAAATTGCAAGCAACCAGCAGTCAGAAGTAGCCTACAGTACTGCACTCAAACCACTGCACCACCACGACTCATATAAACAGATATCATATAAACATATATCCAAAATTATAGAACAACATAAAAAGAGTGGATTATATTACTAACTAGTCTAAGGTTTATTAGCCCTTGTCCCCATCAAGATAACTTATAATTCATCATGATGTGTTTCTCATTCTTATAAACCTTTATTTATTTAGAAAATGTATATGCCCGCCCAGGTCATTCAGTTACTTGTGATGGCTTACAGAAGTAAAACCTGAAATACAAAACCCAATAAATATTCCCTTTCATAAAACTGTTCCTATCTTGTAGATTTATATTTCAAATTTTACTGCTGTATATATACATTACGGTAAATTATACATAACAAAGTATAGAGCATAACTTTTTCATTTGAAAATGGCTGTTATAAAGTGTAGTAAAACATTACTGTTATTACAACTAGCAGTAAGCATGTTATCTTGAGCAACATACTTAATCTTAAATAGCTTAACCATTTCTTGCTATAAAATGCAGCTAAGATCTTTCTAAAAAGGAAAAGGTCTTAGAAAAATTCAGGGTTAAAAGTATTTATTGATCAGGCTGGCATATATTAACAAGTACTGTTCACATTGGTCTTCTGTATATAAAGTATGTATTATAGAAAGATTTGGGACAGTTTAGTTAGTTAAGACCTTTTTATTTTTACACACAAATCGTTTGTTGATTTTTCAAGACTTTTAAAAGGTTGGTTATGATCTTTATTGTCTGAAATTTTCTGGCAAGTACCTTTTTAGGATTAAAAAAAAGACTCTTTGAACAACAAAATTGCTAAAGATTACCATGCTGAAAGGAAGACAGATTACAGTTTACAAAATGTCTACAAAGGATAAAGCAGTCAAAAGTACTTCTATCTGTGTGTATGTGTGTAGGGGAGAGAAAGAGAGAGAGAGATACATACACACCTTTATTTTTGATGGAAAGAAACATTTCTCGATCTAAAATGATCACTTTTAGCCTGAAATTTCCTACAAAAATTACTTTGTTACATTCTTCATTTGTAATTTTGTTTGAACTAACTGAAAATGGATACACTTAAAATGCTGTTAGCTGTATACTTCCTTAGATCTGAAATCAATGTCCGTAGACCTCCCTCATTGTATGTTCACTTCAGTGGGCTGGAAAGTAATGAAAAAAAATCTCCACTGCATCATTTTCCTTTTCATTCACATCCTTTTTGAAATATCCTAGTATCTCTGCAGGGAGCTAATCCCTCTTCACGTCTCTGTAGTCACCAAAAATGTTTCTGAAGTGAAGACACATTCCTTAAAAGAGGTATATGCATTGCTGCAGCCCATTAGTTTTTATTAAAATTTAGGCAATTACATTTTGGGCAGCACACATAGTTCCACAATTTTTAAAATTCAATCGTTGTCACAAACTT